CCCCCTCCCCTCTTACAGATGAGGAAGCTGTGGCTACAGGATTGACCCAAGGTCATGATAGTAGCCAGCTCTCCTGATTTCCATCCTGTGTCTTGACCCCAGGACCGTCCTAAAGCTCACCCAAAACATGTTTCAAATGTAGACCAGGCATCTGTGAAACTTCTGGAAGCCCAGAGGCAATTAAACACTGAAATAAGTGGGGGGTGGGGGGAAGGGAGGGGCAGCCAGTAACCAACTTGCAAACAGAGGCTGTTGCAGGGTCTGGCCCACATCTTACTGCAGAAGGCATGACAGGATCTGTCTGCAATACTGTGTGTGTCATCTCTACACCCAGATAATTCTTAGTATTGTCCACCCACATCCTCCCCTCTTCTACCCCCTTGACCTCTTCCTTAATGCAGGCCCTTGCAGTCTTTGCACTAGAAGACCTCATTTTTCACCCCGAAATGCCTCCAAAAGAATGTCAAGTTTCTTATTTCGCTCTCATGTTTGAACCACGCACCGCATCACGCAGCGTTCATAGTCACTCAGGGCTCTTCCTCTTGCCTAACAGGACACCTTGTCCCAGAAAGCCATGCCCTAAATCTGCTGCCTTTTAAGTCCAATATTTTATACCCATTAAGGGCAGGAACTCTGGGTTTTATTCCTGCCACTGCCTGGGGACTTCTGTAGGGGGATGGGTGAGTCATTAAAGGACTACATTTCAAAAGTGGACTCCCACTTTTTTTAACCCTCTCAATTTTTGGATTGACTTCAATTGGAAACATGAACATCAGCGTCTCTGACGTTCAGGGGCAAGATGTCCATTGAGCAACCAAAAGCAGAGAGAACTAGGATGTTTGAGACTCTGGGCCTTACCCTCTCTGTGCCTCCGTTTCTTCAGCTGTGGCCTGTGTGTAATAATATCTCCCTCCCTCACAGGGGTATTGAGGCTAAATTCGGGATTTAGATTGTAATCTCTCTTGGGGACAGGATTGTCTTTTAGGTCTGGGTCTGGACGACATCTAGCACAATGGGGTCCTCGTCCGTGACTGGGACTCCAAGGCACTATGGTAGTACAATAATAAATGTCCAGAAAGTGCTTTGAGATCTTGATGGAGAAGATGCTATAAAAGCGCAGCATCGCTCCGCGGATGATGATGTGAGTCAAAGATGGGGACTGCGTTTTAACTTCCTGTTTTCCAGCATTTGTCAATTTGATTCACTTGCCCTTATTTTTAAGTAAACCATTTAAAATGAACCTTCTTCCATTGCAGCCCCCCAAACACTGGGGCGCCATCCAATGTGTGAACCTAGCCCTCCTGCGGGGGGGAAGGGGAGTGTCCTAGAGCTTTGAATCCAAATGAGATGATCAGTAAGGAGGACAATTGACAGCTGCACAAATAAAACGATATTTATATCAGCCTGGCTATACACAAAGTTGAGCGTGTGTGTCTGTCTGTGTGTCCAAGCCTCAAAGAGCTTGTAGTCTAAAGGCACAAGATGGCATAGGACACCTATACGCTTCTTGGGAATGGATCGTTTGGGAAGAGGTTTGGTAGAGAGAATAGGAGGCAGAGGGCACTTGGTGAATGTTAATTAAGAGGCTTTTCCAAGCGCTAGGGACAGCAGAAGAGAAGGGGTGATGTCAGGACTAGGAGACGAGGTGCGAAAGGGGAGACCTTGGGCCAAGCAGAGAAGGAAGCAGGAGGTATAGGAGAGGTAGGCAATGGGTATGGGGGAATTTCTAGTGTGGAGATGTTCCACATGTTCTGAGTTGTAATATATCACCCTGCAGCTCCAGATGCAACACAGGCCTCTGAATTCCCCGTGCGAGAGAAAACAAGATTAAATATTTTAAAACTGATGAGTGTTGGAGGGGGCGGTGGGTTATTAGTCATGTAGCCTGGTTGCTGGGGCCCAGCCAACATCTTACAGAAACCATATAAAAGTCCCACCCTTGGCCTTTAAACACTAGCAAGACAGGCTAGCATGACCAGAGAGAACCATAAAGCTGAAAGCAGGTGGTTTAAGGGCTGATCCTGAAGACCCTTCCTAGGCTAGTTCTCTTTGCAGAACTGGGCCATAACTATGGAAGGGTGGGAAACAGACTGCTTAAAAATACTTCACTTGCTCCTCGAAGAGCAGGGATGCTCTTGCCAAACACAAAATCATTAACAGTTAGCAATGCCACATCAGCAGTTGTCACAAGAATAATGCAGTTTGCATAACCATGAGGTAAGGCACTGGGGGATATCGTGACTAAGTTTCCAGGAACAAATTAAAAATTGGCTTTCCAAAATGTGTGGGCTTACATAGCAGAATGAAATAGGGTTCTTCTGTCTCCAACTATGGTGGGCGTGTTTTGTGCCTTTGATTAATACCTCTAATTCTGCCTGGAACTGAAAGGCGAAATCTTGGAGAGCTTTGTAGTTTATGGCTCAGTTTTAAGGTAAGATGCACATTTTTAACTGTGAGGGTAATTAACCATTGGAACGGACCAGACAGGCATGTAGCAAATTCTCCATCACTTGGGGCTTGGATGTCTTCCTGAAACATTTGAATTGATTTGCAAATTAGATACCATTAACTCTGACTTGAATAGAGACTGGGAATGGCTGAGTCATTACATTACTTGAATCTTTTTCCATATGATAACTATCCTTATACCTCTTGTCAACTGTCTGTAATTGACCATCTTGATTATCACTACAAAAGTTTTTTTCCTGCTGATAACAGGTCATCTTAATTAATTAGCCTCTTAGAGCTGGTATGGCATTTTGTGTGTGCGTGTGTGTGTGTATATACTCTTCTTCTATGTTCCATTCTATGCATCCGATTGAAGTGGGCTGTAGCCCATGAAAGCTTATGCTCAAATAAATTTGTTAGTCTCTAAGGTGCCACAAGTACTCCTGTTCTTTTTACAGATACAGACTAACACAGCTGATACTCTGAAACATATGGTTCCTCCACAAATTGTTCGGCTTGATATAGGAATCCCTGGGTGAAACCTGGGGCCTGTTTTTATGCAGGAAGTCAGATTAGGTGTTCATAATGGTCCCTTCTGGCTAGAGCTGTGCAAATAACTGATTTTTTTTATGGTTCACTGGCTGAACTGAAAGAAAAAAAAAAGTTTCAGGTTGACCCAAAACGAATTTTCAAATTTGGCAGTGACTCTGAAAAAGTTGAAAAAATCTGTTTCGGGTCGAACAATAGTTTGTTCAACCTGAAACAATGTTTAATTTTTTTATTTTTTTTAGTTTAACTGGTTTAATGTATGCAAAATTTGACACAGGCAATTTTGAATAAAAATAAAAACATTTCATTTTGAAAATGACAGAACACAACGTTTTGATTTTTATTTTTTTTTTTTAAATTCAACTAAATTGACACAATTTCAGGAACTGTTTCAGTTGGCAAAAAAATGTTGTCTGGAAAATGTTGTTCAGCTCTACTTCTGACCATAAATCTCTGCATTTACATGGGAGGAAAAGCAAAAGGGGGAATGTTTCATACATCAATACTACAGATGGTCTAAATGTGTTTAAAATCATTAATACATGCTCCACATACTTCATTTAATCTAGATATTTAATTTTACCAACATCAATGTTATAGAAAATCTGTGATGCAGTGAAAGGCCACTTATTAGAGTGGTTGGAGGGAAGTAATTAAATCTTGTTTAAAATAATAAATCAGCTTTCTTTTAACAGTACTCCAAAAACAGCACTTAAGAAAACGGGTGCTTGGACAGCCTCCGATAAAAGGTGACCTGCAAGTCCCTCATAAATATTCCTCCATCCCTATGAGGGATCATAGAAGCTGTTCTATTCACTTTTATAGCTGGATAAAGAGAAAGGCGAGTAAGTGACTTTCCCAAAGAAACCCAGATGGCAATCTTGGGTATAGAAACTCAAAGCCCTGGCTTCCTAGCCTCTGCTGCAACCATTAGGCAACACTGCCCTCAAATCAGACACTTGAAATCTGCTTGGGTAACTTCCCCAGCTTTAGGACCTGCTCCTGTTCCACAAGTCTACACGAACACTCTCAGGGGGCTCAGTCGTGAGCTGAGCTCTACACCGGTGTAGGAGAGGAAGGGGTGGGAGGTACCCCCACAACTAGTCTGTGGGGAGAGGAAGGAAAGCTGCTGCTGCAGGGGTGCTGCCGCCCCTCCTACACAGCTGGGGGAGAAGCGTGTGCCTGCATCCCAGCTAGAGCAGGCATGGCAAGAGAAGTAAGCTGCCCTCAGTGCAGGGTTATCAGTGTCAGAGTTTGATTCCTGGCCTGCTCCTGGGGCAGTGCATAATTGTGCCACCCCTTCCTTGGGACTTGTGGCTAGTCCGTGATCTAACCCATAGACTAGGCTGGATACAGTCTGCACAACCCTCTTTGGCTGTGACAGAACTTATCTGAGCAAAGACTTAATACTTCCTCCCAATGCCTGCTCTTCCTTCCCGTTACCAACAAACTGCTCTGAAGCGGAGTGTGCTTAAAAAGGAGCTTTATTGCCAAATCTCAAAGCTCTTTACACGCAGAAGGCAGCGTTGCCTTTCCAAGAGCCATGACAGATTTTCAGATACAATCATTCACTGCCACGCACTAGTGCATTCACTTCCTTCCTGTCGGAACCATGCAGCTCTGGCAGGCCTCGTACAAATCTGAAATTGAGTCACGTTCCATCTCGACGCGCCCACAGCCTCTTCAGACGTGAGAAAGCAAGCTTAGTACAGCTGGGGAGCTTGAGTGAAGAAAAGCTAGGTGCACTCATTGGTGGTAGGTAAAATGAAGACTGGAACTGTCCTGCTAGATCAGCATAATGGGTCTTCTACTCCAGAACCCGGCTGTGACAATGGCTAGTACTTGCTGTTTAAGAGGAAAGTGCAAGAAACCCAGAAGACAGCTATGGAATGACCTGCCGTTCCCATTAGGCAGAGATTGGCTTACACCCTGAACAAGAATAACATGTGCGAAAACTTCAGAATTAAATGTTCTAAACAAACCACGAAGCTTTGTTTATATATAAAAGCCCAGTCGACCAAAAATTCTAGGTGGACTAGTAACTGTAGAAAGAAACTGCTAAACCTATACAAAAGGCTATTTTTCCTTAATTAACGCAACATTTTCAGCCACGGAGACACTGGGTGTTAAAAAGAGAGTTCACTTAATTTATAGTTATTTACAAGACATAGTACATAAAGGTAAGTGACGTTAGTGCGTACAGTATTTAGCTCTGGCTTGTAAAAAGGTTTAGCTCTCCCATCTCCTAACAGATTCAGGTGTCTTCTGTTAAGATTCCTATTGGGGGGTTCAGTAAAATGTCAGACATTAGAATATTCAGTATGATTAAAAAAATACAGTAAATATAAGCACATCCTGTAGATTCTTGCTGCAATAGATAGGGGTATCTGGGACTCTTCGTCAGCACTGCAGTAGGTAGATATTTAATAGGTGGCACATGGTGATGACAAAATACTTGTATATCAGAGATGAGTCTGAGCTGGATCCAGACCTTCCCCAATGTTCAAGGGTATTCAAATCCAGAGGTTTGGTTTGGCCCTAATAGGGATAAGGGACAGCTTCAGCACTGGGATTTTAATATGCATCCAAATGTTGACCATAGCCAGATCATGATTCTGGTCTGGGTGCATCCCTATTACATATACATCTCCATTAATCATCCATTTTATTCTTTTGTTATACAATTTTATCTCACAAATGCCTCCTTCTCCCTGAAGGCTGATGTCCCAAGACATTCTGTACACACCAGGTTTGTACAGCTCATGTTCACATCACACAGTGTTCGGTAAACAAAAGTGCACATGCAGAAAAATACGTATTAGAAGCTGGTAGGCACTGAATAGACTAAGCCTGTATTGTTAGCCCTTGTCTTATAAGTACATCTCATAAGAAAACAAGATACTTCCGTTCACATTGACTCTACAGCAGTAAATTATGCAGAACCAGAGTTCATCCGTGGCCTGCATCAAGGGGACTATGCTCTGGACTGCATATATCTGGAAATCCGGTGTCTAAACGCAGGGCTGTTTTGGCACCTGAAACTCAAGCAAATTCTACTATGCAGAAACTGCCTGGGTGATGGAATAATGAGAGACTTTCAATACAACTCCTATGACTGGCTTGAGAATGAGGCAGCTTAAAACAAGTCTGTTCTAATCACTCGATGTGGAAGTGTCTGGTTGAGTGACTACCTAGCTCTTATCTGGGATGTTCCCATTTTTCAGTTCCTGAAATGCTTTAGGTCAGGGCTGTAAGGAGCGCTCATCAGTTTTTCCCCTCCCTCCTTCCTAATTCAGCTGTAGTTTGAGTTTTACTTTGCTGCTGCTCTGGTAGATGTTTGCAGCATGGGGCACCAGGGAGCCTCAGGGAGCTACCGGAGAAGGAACCTGAGATAAAGATGTATAGCATGCTCCTGGCTTAGTACTTGGCAGGGGCAGATGGCACAAGCTACTGGGTAGTGTAGATACTTTAGCAATGAGAACTGCCAAGTTGAACTCTCTCTTCTGGCTCAGAAATTCTTCCTGTTCTGCTGGGCCTTAGCTATTCAACATCCACCTGCATTCCCCGGAGCTCCATAAGATCAGCTGAGAAAGATCCAATCCTTCCTCCACTGCACAGGCCTAGATAAAGCCAAAGCGGTGGTGGCACTTTGAATCCCGGGGTAGTTGATGTGGTGCCATTGAGAATGACTATTTTAGGGCAAAACTCTGAAAGGAGGATAAAAGGGATGCACCTGCGCCCTGTGATGACCTGATTTGGTGGGTAAATGAGCATCGCTGAACTTGGACTGGCAGGTAGGTGACCCAATTCACATCCACACGTGTTGTCTGAGGGTGAAAATGGTGCTTACACTTTTAATCTTTGTCGTGCAAGACACAGTTTTGTAATCATTTTGTCACCATGACTATTCCTATTTCATCACATTTCTCTCATGAGATGCAACTTCCTTTAACAGGAGGACCAAGAATCGGGGCATTTTGCCATTGCCTTCCATGGGAACCAGACCGGGCCCTTATTTAGTAATGCCTCCTTCGTTTCAGTGTACTGAGTTCAGCCGCCTACCCACCAAGAATTAAACTGCAAAATGCATTTCCCTGTTAAAATGATATGATTAGACGTTCCATCAAAACCAGTTGCCATGATGGACATGTCATCAGTCAACCTCCCAGGACAAGGCTGCTCGACACACAGCAAGGGGAGAGTCTACTTTCAGAACCAGCCAACCGCTCCCATAAGCCTCCAAACAGCTGACCGACTATTTACTTCTACAAATACAGGAGACTCTAGTTACCAGGTCAATGTATTGCTTAAAAATGAACATTTTGGGCTGCTTCGGCCAGGAGCAGGTATTTCAAACATAGCAGCACTGGCTAGGAGAATGAGCACAGAGTTAGGGGTAAGATTGCTAAATTCTATCCCTGGCTCTGAAATGAACTCCTTCTGTGGGCAAATCACTTCACATCCCTGCCTGTTTCCCCACAGGAAAAATAATACTTGCTTGGCAATGGTAGTTTGAGGCTTAATGAATACTTGTACAGTGCTTAGAACACGGAAGGATTGTTGTGTTTGAGTCTGGCCTAGAGCTGAAAACAATTACTTACCATCACCAGTTTGCCAGTTTTGTGCAGATTTCTAAGTCAATTTTTGAACTGCCGATGTGTTTAATGAGTATCTATGGAAACTGTTAACCATTTGTTCCAGAATATGATTGGGCCAGGTAGTCAAAATCTGTCAGTAAGTGAACAAACTGAGCAAAATTTACGGACGTTTCCGGCCAGATTCCCAGTGGAATGATTTCATTGGCAAAACTCTCTGGGTGCCAGTGCAAACGGGGTAATTCCATGTCTTACATGCCAATTTATACATGCACACATGAATATTCTGCTGGAATATCCATGCCCTCCTTTGAAAAACTGACCTTTAGTCTGATTACAAGTGTTGTGGTGGTGGGTTTGTGGTTTTTTTTTTTGGGGGGGCCTAATCCAAAGCCCATTGGTGGTTTTCCGCTGACGTCAATGAGCTTTGGATCAAGACCTTAAAGAATATTCACATTTTTGCAACTGATGTTCAATATCCTCTAACTTCCTATTGTGATCAGGGATGGGAATATGGCATAAAGACATAACAAAAAGAAAATTATAACTGAAATGCCCTGCTCTGAATGCATCGTGTGTGCATAGCAAAACATAACCTTATTTAACACTGGCCAAGCAATGGTATAAGTCGTAAATAGCAAATTTTTAGCTTGATTGTAAGAAAGAAGTGTCGTCTTAAGTACATCTCAGGGAGCACTTCTCCTATAAAGAGTTACTAGATCCTTCGGCTTTTCTTTCTGTTTCTCTGTCGGTTCCTTATTCAGTTCTCCTAACCCTTTAATTTCTTGTAGGACTTGTGTTGCTTGCCGAAGCTGTTCTACTGCCTCATTGAGTAATGTCTCTGCGTTTACTGGGGGTCCATTTCCCTTGTGTGCTTGTTCTAACTCTTGGCATAAAACCTTTTGCAGAAGTTTTTCTGTCTTTTCCCTTTCGCAAGCCACTTTCTCCTCCATTTTAGCCAGGCAGGATTGGGGCTCCTTGCGGAAGCCTGGACCCAGAAGTTCTTTTTCTGCATTTTTCGATTCATTCAGCAGATCTCCTAGAGATGCACAGCGAGTTCTGAAAGGCGAGGGATTTGATATGGTCTGTGGTAAAAGTGTTTTCTCTTTACTAGGAACCTCTGTACTTTCCTGCTTTGCTTCGGTATCTAAGGAAGTCTTTATTTGTTCCTGTATTGTTTGCGGCTCCTCTTTCTCAGCAGCAACTCTCTCACTTCCTTCTTCACGCTCTACTTTTTGGGGAGTGGATTCTGTCACTTCCCCATCTTCCATTCCATCCCTGGGGGAGGTAGAATCATGGGGTTCCTTGCCTTCTGAACTCTTCGCCTCTAAACTGCTCGGGGTGGCATCCATACTTGCTGTCAATTTTTCTGATAAAATCTTAGGAGGAAGTGGAGGTTTCACAGTAGCCGTTGCGACCACCTCTGTGAGGTTTTCTTTACTGCCACGTTTGGATGGTTCCAAACCTTCTGTGCTTTGAGAGTGAGGGGCTGGTTCATCCCAGCTGACCCCTTTCAGCTTGTCCGATAAGATTTTAGGAGGAGGAATCGGAGGCTTTGCCGTGCTGCTGTCGCTGACCTCCATGAGATTCTCTTCATTGTCCCCTGGTGAGGCTTTGGGTTCTTCACCCTCTTCACCTTGACTGACTGAACCCACGTCTTTGTCGTTTAGATCATCCTTTGACGGTGTACTCTCCTTCAACGTCTTAGCTGGAGGCAACGGAGGCTTTTTAAGCTCTTGATCAGCAACGCTATTATCCACACTCGGCTTCTCTGACACGACACTGGGCTTTGTAGGAGGCATAGGTGGCTTTGGAGTTTCCTTTGGAGGAGGGACGTTCTCATTATCGCTCACAGTCAAGGTGAAGTCTGGGGGGCCATTATCTACTATATCCAGATCCAGCCTCAAGATTCCATCCGATGTAGACTTGGCAACCTGAGAAATGTAATACGAGAGAGCTTTATTTAGACTGTGTTCTGTTATCAATCCCCTGAACTATCCCGTCCTCAAAACCAGTCTTAACAAACCGTTTAAGTCAAAGAAGTGAATGTGGGGTGACTGAGGGCTGGTCTACACTCCTGCACTACATCAGCGCAGCTGTGCTGCTGTAGCGTGTCGGGTGAAGACGTGCTATGCTGACGGGAGAGGGCTCTCCCATCGGTATATTTACTCCACCTCCGTGAGAGACAGAAGCTGTGTCGGCAGGAGAGCGTCTCCCGCTGGCACAGCGTGGTGTGGATACCGTGTTAAGTCAATGTAACTTACGTTGCACGGGGGGAGATGGCTTTTTCACACCGGAGCGATGAAACTTACATCAGATTAAGTGGCAGTGTAGACAAGCCCTGAGTCCAGCATCTGACTACAAATCTTTTGTCCCACAAGGAGGACAGTACAGACTAACCCGTACACCTCAGCACAGCTTACACGTGTGAGACTGAGTGATGCCTCTGTTTCTGCTCCCCTTTACGCCCCCACTTCTTACTCAATGTAACGCCCTGTATGACATTACACCAGCACCCGCTTCAGTGCATGCATACTTGCCGCTGAGCTATTTTGTCTCCAGTAGTGGAGCGACAGTCAGGAGAGCATCAAAGCCAATAACCACAAGAGGTCAAGAATTGGTCCAAAGCAGCTGTACATTCAGCCTATCAAAAATCCTTTTTCCTTTCTAAGTTATAAACACTGAGCTGTGCAGTTCTGATGTGGACAATTTCCGAGTTACAAATATTTGCATGGACAGGTGCACTGTCTGAACTGATAAATGCAAAGAATTTCCCGGAGAGACAAAGTGGGTGAGGTGATATCTTTTATTGGACCAACTTCTGTTGGGGAGAGAGAGAAAGAGAGAAACTTTTGAGCTACGCAGAGCTCTTCCATGTAAATGGTCTTAATACGGGGTGTTAGCGGGCCACTTCACTTTGAAGTACATGCTAAACTATCTGCTCTTCCTTGCATTTAGCTGTGAGACTCTGAGTACCTTTCCCAGACCTGAGGAAGAGCTCTGTGTAGCTCGAATGCTTGTCTCTCTCACCAACAGAAGTTGGTCCAATAAAAATTACCTCCCCCGCCTTCTTTCTAATATCCTGGGACCGAGATGGCTACCACACTGCAGACAACCTAGAGCAATGGAGGCAGATCATCTGGTTCTATCCCCTTGTAGGAACAGCTGTTGAAGTAGCCTAGAATATTTTATCTCCTTACTACCCAAGTCGTCCCCCCATGAGAGTGTTTCCCAGAATTCCTCTTGCTGCTCTCCTTACATAACTTGTTGCATTTCTTTAGATTGATAAAATGTACAGGTCTGTTAGTTCATGTATCGAATCCTTCAGTCCAGGGCGCTAATGTAATGTCATTTTGCATCTGGCTGCTTCCTCTCCCCTCCTGACATCATCTGTCTCAGCTGGGTTGGGCCTCAGCCAGCTAGTCCTTCATGTCACAAGCTCCAGGCAAACTGCTCAACCATAGCAGCTGGATCAGAAGGGATGGCCATGCAGAGCTGCATTATCTCTATACGAAGCCCGAACTTCCTAAGTCTCCTATCCACCCCAGAGGGAGAAATGAGGAGAGGGTCCCTGTGTGAGGGAGCCCTGGGGACAGACAATGCCCAAATGCATCTAGGCTTAGACTCCCTCCAGAACAGGGAGGCTGGCTACAGCCTTCCTCCCACTTGAGCCCTTTCAAGAGACCTCTACACCTGGGTGAAGTTCACCCGTGTTGCCTGATCCTCTCTTCTCAATATGTGCCCCCGTCTCCTGTGAGAAGCTAGCCCAGAGTATCTCCCTTCAGGATTGTGTGACCAGCAATTAAAATTTCCAGTTAACCCCCTTCCCATATGTTTTTTCTGTGTTAATTACTACAGTATTCAAGTCCCTGCAACTGTCTAGTCACCCTCTTTATTGTGTCCTTTCCATAAGGTGACAGGAACTGAACATGGCCTTCAAGATAAAGTGTTACTGTTTCACGGTGGAGAACTGAGTTGTGTCCCCTTCCTCTGGGTCTGCCGCCCAAGACTCTCCTATTGCCATTCAGCAGTGCTGCAGCATACAGGCCTTCACCCCGCCCTAAGTCCCGGTCCTGCTCAGTATCTTGCCATACGTGACTTCTCAGAGTAAATGACTCTCTTCAGACTTCTGGTTCAGAGTCATTACCTTACATTTCTTGGGAGTGAAATGCGTAAACTGCTTCTTCGCCGGCTAATTCACTAGGGATGTTTATTGCTCTCCTCCTCCTTACCAGCACTGTAGTGTGCATTTTCTCTTCTACGCAGCATCTGTATAATCGTCCCTAATACTAATCTTTGTGGCATGTCAGTACCCAGGGCCTCCATCCAAAATAATGTCCACTTATACGTACCCTCTGTCTCCAATGTCCACAGAAGACCTTTATTACCCTATAAATGGCAAATTGTCTCCTACAAGGTGAAGGCACTTGCAATAACAGAGCTGAGATCTCAGGCCCAGCTTACAAGGCATAAGGGGAATAACCTCAGCGGATAAAATTCCAGGAGAGCATTTGTGCCTCTGAGATCTTTTTGAGGGGAAGGGAGGGAATGTCTGGCTCTCCAGTGATTATTTCTGTGCATTTCTCTAAAGAAAGATTCTCTTGTGGATGCTGCAGGATTTTTGTGCGCTAGATTAAAAAGCTTTCGTCTGCACTAATCACTTGAGAGTTGCACAGAAGGTGAGAGTCCGCAAGCTGTGACGCTTGCAGAAAGAGGTTTAGCCTTAAACCCATTCATTAGTTTAATCCTCTTCTAAAGTATCACTACTACTTCAGTGGAGAAACTCCCTCAGAAATAGGAATCTAATATTTATTAGCCATGTGTGTGTGTTTGTTTTAAATACTAGCTACAGAAAAGCTAATGAGAACTGAAAATAGGCTGCTCTATAAAACTGTCTTAGAAAAAACAGTTATAACCCATTCTCAGTGCTTTGGTTTTTTTTTTAATTAAGCAGTAATGGCACGTGCCAAACAAAGAAGCAGCTCATGAACTATAGAAAGGCTCACAAAATATATCACAACATATTGCAGCAGCTACCAATCTGAAGGATGCAAAAATCTTAAACAGCTACGGTCCACCATCCCACAGATTAAAAACTTGCTTTCCCTTACTCCAGTTACCAACTAGTTTTACCTGTAAGGGGTCAGATAGAAGCTTGTGTTTTGCATGTAATCAGCATGAACGATACACCCAGAAATAGTTCTCACTGATTCTGGCTTGGGTCTTTTACCAGATGGAGATTGCATACAGGTGATTTCACCGTGCTGCAGCATGCAACCCCAGGGTGCATTCTTACCTCTTTCAGGTGAATTCTGGTGGGTGGTCTGCGCCCATGACTCACTTTCACTCTGTCTCGAGTCACATGTTCCAGGGAAAGGCTCTGATCTACCTTCACCTTTAAATGGGGGAAGGAAAGGAGAACATCACTGAGTTATCAATGCATGCCTAAAACCATCTCATTGAGAAGGTATGAGAATGTCTTTTTCTGCCATTTCTGGTAAGGGTGCATTTGTAGCCAGGATGGCTTTTGAATATGTCACCATTACAATCAGGTCCCAGATTTCTAGGCTTATTGAGGGATAGCTCAGTGGTTCAAGCATTGGCTTGTTCAATCCAGGGTTGTAAGTTCAATCCTTGAGGGGGCTGCTTAGGGATCTGGGGCAAAATCAGTACTTGGTCCTGCTAGTGAAGGCAGGGGGCTGGACTCAATGACCTTTCAAGATCCCTTCCAGTTCTAGGAGATAGTATATCTCCATTAATTTATTTATAAACCTTTAACATTTGTTTTCTGTGTGGTTTTTATTGCTCACCAGCATCATTATATTGCCTTAAAACCTGCACTCCCTTTCAGAAGCATTTACAATACAGCTCAATGCTGAACTCTTATTTATAGCCGTTAGGGTGACCAGACAGCAAGTGTGAAAAATCAGGACGGTAATAGGAGCCTATATAAGAAAAAGACCCAAATATCGGGACTGTCCCTATAAAATCCGGACATCTGGTCACCCTATTAGCCATAGGTATCAGACGCTTGAGCACTGAGTTGCCAAAAGCTTTTCTTTTAGCAGGGAAGTTACGCAACTCTTTCTTGGGTGGATGTTTGTAGAACAGGCTCCTTCATCCTCTTATCCCCTGCGGTACGTATGCAGACAATCTGCAGGGTTTGTTCCTGCAAAGCTAAAAGGTGGGGGAAGACTTAAACGCCATCCTCCATTCCTTACTGCGGGCTGCCAGCAATGTGAACTTGCACATCAACAAAACAGTGCTTGACGTGGCCACAACATCCATTTAGTATTTTCAAAGCAAACCCAGCTGTGATCTGGTAGAGCCGCACTCAGAACCTTAGCCGGGGTCCCTTGGAATGCGATGCTAGCTCCAGATTCTCTGAGTGGTTTGCAACATGCACATTCATGATAGCTCTGTGTCAGAGTGGAACTGACTTCATCTGCAAGATGCGACGCTAGTTCTGCAACCCCACAGGTGAAACTGAGAGTGTCTGACTTGGCCCATCCAACTTTCTGAGGTTTGCCAATCCCTAGGTACCTACAGGGCAGGAAAAGGAGGGCACAAGAGACTTTTGTTGTCCTGCACTCCGGCTTGGAACGTGGCAGGGAGATGTAGTAAAACTAATCTTAGAGGTGAAGGCACGTTAATAATCCTGACCTGACTGTGAACTGTATCAGCAGGTCTTGTTAACAGACCTTTCTTTGTACAGCTTTAATGATCTCAGGAGCTGAACAGAAGATGTGAGCAGCGACCTGGATTAATTGCAACAGTGGCTGAATTAACACGTTCACTTACTGGAATCAGATTTAAAATTCATTGCCTCGCACGTGGAAAATGAGAGCCAATGCTAAGTCCTTTCACTATTCTCGCTCTATGCCTACCACTCTTGACTCCCCCGCCCCTCCACCTTCCTAGTGAAGGGGGCATGCTGAGGTATTGCCACAGCGTACCACACTCTAGTGATCCCAGCTGGCATAATGGTCCTAAGATGATCTAGTTCAGAGTGTCTCTGAGGCTGCTCTAAACTACGCTGGGGCCGGTGACTCACAGAGTTGACCTCAGGAACGGGGAGCCATGAATGTCTCCTCTGCATCCCCCCAGCTGCACCCAGTGCTTATTGGCCACAGCCAGGGATTCAGTCCTCAGTGTGTGAAGGCACAGGGGGCAGCACCAATAGGGGCTTTAGAAATGCCAACTGATTGCATGCATCTCTTTCCAGTTACCTGTCTCAGCTCCCCAGAGAGAAGAGAGTTCTCTGGAGTAGAAAGAGTGACCAGGCCTATGGGGTCAATTTGGGGGGGGGGGACAAAATGGGCCAACTCCTCAGCTGGTGTAACTCAGTATAGCCCCATTGACTTCAGTGGAGCGCAGCTGACTTGTGCCAGTGGGGGATTGGACCTGTTTTTCAACAGGGCATGAGCACACAGATGTTGAAGCAGTTAGCATGCAGCACTTCACCCCCACAAGTCTTGGGGGGAGGGATAGCTCAGTGGTTTGAGCATTGGCCTGCTAAACCCAGGGTTGTGAGTTCAATCCTTGAGGGGGCCGCTTAGGGATCTAGGGTAAAATCAGTACTTGGTCCTGCTAGTGAAGGCAGGGGGCTGGACTCGACGACCTTTCAGGGTCCCTCCCAGCTCTATGGGATAGGTATATCGCCATATTTGTGGCCGGGGGCGATCCTCTGAGCTCACTTTTCGATACTCTGTGCAAGGGAGTGCGGAGTTCATCGCACATCATCATCGCCGGGGCAGAGAGAGAACGAGAGCTCCACTTCGGAAAGAGAACGCAGCACCAGCACTGGTCTCCCCCAGCAACCAGGGAGACAGAGGCAGGCTGCTACAGCAAGGACTGCCCAGCATTACGCTACATTACATCACCTCTACTGCTCATCGGTAACATGAGAGCAAGCTTGAATGCTGAGTTTTCTGCTGCTCAGATTTATGATATAGCCCCAGCTTGTCTGCTGCTCCCAGCTGGTCCAGTTACTTCCAAATACTGCTTTTTATTTGGAATGATGAACGAGCAATGCCTGCCCTAAAAAACATCTGACACCGAATGGGATTTGGTGATACCAGCGGGTTGCTTCCCTGCGCCACCTCCAGTTACTGCGAGTTCCCTCCCATGAATAAAAAGAGAGCGTCTGGATCTCTTAAGCATAAATGTTTTCTTATCAAAATGGCGCAGTGCAATTGGAGTCTGATTCTCCACCCCTTACTCCAACTTCCCATTGACTTCATTGCCCGAATAAGAGGCCCAGGATTGAGCCGACGAGTATGCATTCTGCAACGCCATGTCTGTAGTGCATGCTGGATGAAGGCATGGGGTGGTTTTTTATCCCTTGCCTTTCTCTGAGATTTTTTACACAGCACTCTAGTTTCCACTTCCCTAAAGCCTGGCCTGTTTTTCACTAATCAGATCTTCTTGGTTTCTTACTCTCCAAGTTCCCCCTACTCATTTCTTCATGGTGGCTTCATTCCCTTCGTGGTGGCTTCTCCTTAGCTTGGTGGAGTTTATGCACTTCCTACTACTGCATAGTAGATATTGCCCTTCCTGGTAAGGGATTGAGGTTAGCTCCATGTCAAATCCGACGCTGTGTGGTTTTAGTCCTTCCTTTGCCTGAATGTCTAGATTTGGGGGGCGTTTCAGAGTCGGGGGGGGCGGAGAGGCAGCTTCTTTGCAACCTCTCCGGCACAGCCGCAGGCAGCTCTTGGTGACGTGTTGCCGAAGGGTAGCGCTAATGGCGTGTGTAGTAACTTTCCACTAGGCGTCTCTCCAGGCAGCGTGAAAAGCTGGTGGACTCTGTGTCCGATGACACGCGTGTCCAGATCTACAGGTGCAGTAACCAGGCTGTGTGCTGCAGAGAGCCACGTGGCTGAGGGGAAGGAAAGTCCTTCCATGGGGCAGAGCAACTGCTTGGCAAATTCCGAGCTGCGGCAGCTCCAGTGCCCAAGTTCCTTCCACAGGGGTAGACAGAGATTCCAGTGGATTAACTTAGGGCCTGATCCAAAGCCCTCTGGAGTCATTAGAACATCTCCCACTGACTTCAATGGGCTCTGGACCAGGCTCTTAGTTGCTTTTGCAGCTCAGGCCAACCCCAGTGTGTCAGCAATTTTCTCTACTCCCCCTTTTTGTCCTCCTGGAGAGTCTCAGCCTTACAGTGGAGGCAGGGGGCAAATGACCTGTATGGGGAATGCCCAGCTCAGTGGGTGGTGGATTCTATACATGTTATCCCAAAGAGGCTTCTATAAATTGCTGCTGAAACGTACATGTCCCGCATTCACAGGTATGTTGTTAGAGAGGAAAAGACACAGCATTGTTATCCCACTCCAAGGGGCAAATTCTGGGGGAGTCTAGAGAGACTCTAACTGGAGGCCACACCCACCCACCTACACCTTCCAGGCCCCTCTGCATGTACGTGATGCCAAATCAGAGTCTAACCCATTTAACACCACTCTCCACACACTGCTCTTCTGAATTTGGCTCACTGAGTCTTAAGTAGTCTGTGTAACACACATACTACAGGGCCAGAAGAGAGGAGAAAAGCAACTAGCAGCAGGACATGAGAAGGTGTGAACCAGCTGCTATTTTAACTTCTTACATGTTCTGGCTCTGAAATTCAAGCGGCCGTGACTAAGCCTTGCCTAGTGTAACTCAGAATAAGGGAGTGTAACTCACGTCTCCTCACTCCATCTCTGAATCTGGCCACAAGAGTTTTTTTTTTCTTTTTTTGCTCTAATCTTTGTTGTTGCTTAGTGTTCAGGAGGCTCGAGCAAAGGAAGGACGGGGGAGAAAGGCTAACGTGACACCTGGCCACAAGCTCAAGAGTGTAGCTATAATCTTAGAGTGACCAAATGTCCCGATTTTATAGGGACAGTCCCGATTTTGGGGTCTTTTTCTTATATAGGCTCCTATTACCCCCCACCCCGTGTCCCGATTTTTCACATTTGCTGTATGGTCACCCTATATAATCTGAACCTGCTAACAGCAGTTTTGGACTCCAGGTGCACAATCTGGACCTGAAGCGAGGGGGTACGAGGTGGGGGGTTTCAGCACCCCTCTACTGAATGAGGGCTGACACACAAACGCATACAGCTTGAAACCCATTTATCTTACCTCATCAAGTATTTTATTTTTGGCTCTGCTGATCCCTTCATTCAGGGCTTTCATCCATGATTCTTTCTCTTCCGCATTCTGCCCCTGAAATTTGATATCATGGACCTGCAAGATGAGAGACGTAGAGAGATGTTTTCATCCTAACGTTACTTGCCAAGGACAGAGAAGTAGCCTATACATCATTAGTGTGTTAAACTCGATATCCAGCTGAGCCCGTGTTTAAACTAGACATTCCTTTGCACTTTGCAATGGCTTCACCCCGCAGCCGCAATCAACAAAGCTTTGTTATGCTGGATGGTTTGTTGCTATAGTTTTTATTTTTGCAACTAGCAATTAAATTAATAAAGCGAGTGACAGTTTCTTCCTCCCGCAAAGAGGGATGAAATGTTCCTGGAGCAACAGATGGCTGTTTACTTAGGGAATGGATGGACTGTGTGTAGGGGACTTGCCCGAATGAGCAACTCACACTCATGTTGCGGTGTTAGGTTCGATAAGATGCCGTATCTCCAACTCCCACCCCCCCCCCCCCACGCTGCAGGCAGAGATCAGCGTGAAATCTGTGAGGAACAAACTCTGTTTGCTCTTGCGTAGTGGTGCTGCATAGGACTGGGGCAGGATTCTAGGACTCTGCGCCGGGGTACGCACAGCTTGGCTCTGCAGAGCACAGATAGGCTTGCAGGGCAGTGGGGCGTGAGGATTCAGAAGGATAAACTGGCAGAGCAACATGCCATAATTTCTCCCCTTTCCACCCTGACAGAGCAGGGATTCAGCAGCTCTGAGACTGTAGTACCAGATACAGATATGATCCACTGCTATAGCCGGACAGAGGCTGTGCTGAAGCCTGGAGAGGAGCAGGAGATCCCCAGCACAGAACCCATTCCTTCGGACTGTGCAGGGGGTCCAGGGACTCCCATGATGCAACTGTTCTGCTCACCATCCTCTGAGCCTATGGTGCATCATGGGAGATGTAGTTTGACCCGGGAGCCCAGTCTATAGAGAAGAACGACAAAGCACATAAACTACAACTTCCATGCTGCACCGTGGCAGCATTTAAATATTTCAATTTTTGATTTTTCTCTGAAAGATCAAACTTTTCCATGGAAAATTTCAATGACAACTATTTTTTTTTTCATTTTAATCGAAATGTTCTGCACTGGGAGAGCCAATTTCCCAACCAGCTGTGATTTCCTGGTGTTCTGCCTTGATAAACCCCAGGCAGCATTCCCTGAAAGAAACTGTAGGTAGGATGTAATCTCTCTAGTGAATGAATAAGCAACAGACTTCCAAGAGTCTGAACTCTGTGCTTATCTGCATGGTCTCCTGATACATGTCCATGCCGGAAAGTTCAGTGTTTTGTGATCACTGCATGATAAATATCTCTTTTCTACTTATCTCTGAACCTGACTGAGACAATTCTTGGCAATAGGTACAAGCGAATAGCGTGGAAATTCTCCCAAGGCCTGTTCTGAAACAGTGCATTTGTTCAAAAGAATGGCCTTGGCCATTGGCAAATGTAACTCCTCTCGTTCATCCAGACGTTGGAATGTAACTAAATGTAACCATTTCTGGGGGGAATTACTCAAGTTTCTCAGTTGGGCAACAATGAAATGACCTAATGGGCATTCTCCATCACTGGCTTTTACTTCTATTAGGAGCAATGGAGTGAAATTAAGAGAGGAAAAACTTAGGATGCATACCTGGAAAAGTTTCCTGACAGGGATCCGTTAGCTAATGAAATAAGTTTCTTCAAGCATACAGAGAGGGAAACTGAGGCAGAGAGGTTAATTGACTTTGTCTAACACAGCAGAGCTGAGAACAGAACTTAGGTGCCCTGACCTCAGTCTCCCTGTTTCAAAGCCTGGGGGGTGCAAGGAAAGGTTAGCAGATTCTTGGAAATGGCTGAACAGTTTGGGTCGAAATTTTCCAGAAAAATTCAGCCTAAAGCAGACACTGGCCTGGGAAGTTTGGCCAAATTATAAGTGGCTGAAAACAGGGCCTTATAATGGGAAGAAGTGTCAGGCATCTTTAATAGGCAGGGCTACCGACTCCACCTATACTTACAGAGGCACCTACAAGGAGTTTGATATTCTGAGCACCCACCACTTGCACAGATGTTAACTGGAGGGATGGGTTCTCTGAAAACCAGGTCCCTTTTATTTAGGTGACAATCAACAGGCAACCTCTGTCTAAGCAGATCACCAGGGCTGAAACGTTCAACGTCACAGGAAGGCTGACAGGCCTAGAAGCCAGGCCTCCTCCTTCCCTCTCCTGAGCGTTAACCACTTGGTTATCTTCCTTTCTCTCTGCAGCTGCCCTTCATTAGGAGGGATGGGATGTCGCTGGCCTTAGTTTCTAATTCGCCTCAGTCCCGCGCAAACCGTCACTTTAAATGTCTATAAATCAGGGGTCGGCAACGTTCGGCACACGGCTTGCCAGGGTAAGCACCCT